CACACTTAGCAGTGCTGTGGATGATCTGACCAGTGTTGTTGGAGAAGTCAGCTACAGCGTGGCTGATTCAGTAACAGAACAAGTAACAAGCATGATAAATGGCCTTCGTGGGGAAGATGAAAGCTCCAAAATACAGAATGATAAACCTGTGCAAGGCAGAGAGGACCATACACCACCATTAACTCATTCTCAGGAAATTAATACGAAAGCGAAGAGGGGTATTGCAGAACATAAAGAGACTCATCATTCTAATTCGTTAGATTTTGTAAAAAGAAACTCAAGTCAGAATGGAGTATGTAACCATGTCATGGACAAAAAACAGTGCCAGTTAAAAGGCAGAGATAGTAATAATCATTTACATGGTACAGAAGTACCTCAGAATTTGAAGAATGTAGGAGGACCTTTTAAAAGGGAACCAGTAGGAGAAAATGAGTATTTTGTAAATGATAAGTTCTTGAAGGATAGTGACCTGAAAAGTAATAGATTTACAATGGCGCAGTCTACTGAGGAACAAAATAATTGCCTACGTGCAGTATCAGATAGTTCTAAGAATCACTTGCATAGAAAAATCAAACCATGGTCACCTGGAGTTGATTTTAAAGATTCTGAAGAAGTGCATGGTATGAATGTTCTCCAACATTTAGAAATAAAACTTGCTGAAATACAGAAGCAAAAATTATCAGACTCCAGCATGAAGATGACATACGACTGTCCCAATTGCGTTAATGAATTCAGAGAAGAGAAATCTGAAGCCTTTTTTGACAGAAAAGAAAAATCCATATCAAAGGATGAAGATAACGTGTCAACTACAATTGCAAAAGCAGATAAGAAGGAAAACTCAAAGAAATCAGAAAAGAATTTGAGAGCGCTGTGTAGTAAGAAGACAGCAGGAAAAGGTGAGGAGTCCGTCAGCAAACTGCGTTCTTCAACCTTTCCTGAAACTTACGATACTTCCTATCTTTTTCACCTAATTTACACATTTGATAATAGTATTTCCTGTGGATGAAAGTAAGTCTGTGTTGGCAGTGCTTCAGTCTCTTATTATGTTGATATTTCTTGGAAGTTAATTACTTTTTAAAGTTGCTTAAAGGAGCTGATTAATAAACAGCTTTCCTATGTTATAACTTTTCTTTTTCTATATACAGTTTTTCTTTCCTTCTGTGCAGTGCCTTGTGTGGTTCCTGTTGAAAACTGTAAATTAATTAATACTGGAAATTAACACTTCTTCTGTGAAAGTGGTTTCTATTTTGTGTGTTTTAAAAGCATTACATGAAATGTGGTAAGATGATTAAAAAAAACCCCAACTTCTGTTACATTTACATTATAGTAGAACTTCAGAATGTATTTCTGGGATATAGAAGATAATAATTTCAAGACAAAAAACTCAGTGACAAGTGGCAGTTAAGTGATTTAAAGCATAGAAAGAACTGAATGAGGTTTATCTTAAAGAAAGTTGTAGTCTTACAAAGAAAACCTGTGTATTGTTGATAGGGATGCTGTCTGTGCCGCCTTCTACATACAGTCTTAAACAATATGACAATGGGATTGCAATGATAGTTTGTAAGAAGTAAAACCTTGCATTTTTACACAGTTGTTTTGCAGGCTGTGTAGTGAATTTTTAGAAAGCAACACAGGCTTTTCTGGAGATGCTGTTTCTGTAGAGAAATTAATTATTTCATAGTAGAAATCAGGTTTGGTTGTTTTTTTTTCAGTGTATGTGTTTTCCCTCATTTGAAAATTTCAGTAATTCATTTTGTTTACTTTTGGGTTTTATTTTTTAAATTTGAGTTAGGAGGTGTTTTCCATGTTTGTACGATAAACTCTGATCTTATCTGTTATTTTTTCATGTAATAGAATATTTGTAAAGTATATTCTCTGTCAAAAATGGCATTTTAGGTCCCATAATGAGCAATGAATAGCTTTCAATGGGTTAATAATTATGTATGACCTGCGTTAGCCAAATAAAGGAAGGTTTTTAATAAGAACATGAATTCCCTTAGGCAGGTTTCCAACTAAGATATAAAAATCAAAAGAGAAGTGGCACGGAGGAGCATAAAACCCTGAGGATTTTTTTTTTTTAATGTACAGGAAGCTGTTTCTTCCCAGGAAACGGAAACAGATTTGTATGGTTCATTTAAAAAAATGTTTACATGGATAGCTTGTGTTTTAGCTTTAATGAGGTTTTAAAGTCCCCTGAAGAGGTCTTGTTTCATGATTTTTATACATCCTCAGCCTTTTGCTTTTATGCCAGGAACTGGAGAAAAAATATCTGGTATCACTGAAAACTTCTGGATGCTTACAAATGTCAGTGCATTATTAGAGGCATAACTTTCTGCATTTCTTTCAAATGTGTTGCTACCATGCTTTTATACTTTATGCAGACTGATTAATGAACCTAATTTCATATTTGTGAATAGATGTCTTGTAATGATAAATGATGCATCTAATACTCATGTCTGGCACTATATTTTAGTCCTGGTATGCCTTGCTTTAATTATAGTTCTAGAAGTCTGTAGAAGTTTCCTAGGTGGCAGGTTTCAGGCTGTTGAGGGCCGTACAAGATGAAATTTTACTCTGTGTACCAGCAAAGAAGGCTTCTTTTTCTGGGCAGCCGCTTGCAGTGAATCTGCTAACCAGAGTATTTCAATAAGTGATCAGTGAAATTGAACTTGCTTTATAGCCATCCATACAGTGGGAAGAACCATATCTGTCTGACTTGAACTAAAGTTGATAGCCTAGAGTTGAAAGATCTAGTTGCTTATTAGCAGTCTTTTAAGGCACCAGTTTTCCTATAAATACTAAATGAAGATTGCATACACATTGCATGTAGAGCTGGTAGCACCATCTGCAGTTAGGGTTTCCTGACATTTTCCATTTCAAGACCTTTCTTGCAGTTTCTTAAACCTGTGTGCCAAATCTGAAATATTTGGGATGAAATTTGGCATGCTTTCTGTCTGAGAGTCCCCCCCCGCCCTTTTTCTTTTTAAGCTATAGTTTAAAATCTTTACCTGTTTCCAGGAATAGAGTATGGGTTGTAAACCTCTGTAAACTTTGCTTTTTGAAAAGGCATAGTAAACACTTCTTACCATTTGCTTATTAAATTCTCTGACCATCCCATTTGCACTCATATGCTTCATCACTGCGGGTTGAAGAAGAGAGTGGGTCTTATCCTGCTTTTGATAACTTAACAGTTACTGAAGGACATTGGAAATTTGAACAGAAGAATTGAGAATGACTTATGTGAAGACAGAAACTTCTTGAACAAATGTGACACGATGCGAGTGTTAGACTGGGATTTGAAGTAGGATAGGTGACAGCTATAGAGAGAACTGATAACATTATATGAAGGTAGAGAGACTAAGGGTGGAAGAGTGAGGTTACATGAGTAGTTGGTTAGGTGCAAGTAAGGACAATTTGAGACTGAGTATACAAAGAGAATAAAGATGAAATCCCCATAAGAGACCAAAACTGGGTGCTTGGAGCAGGAACCTGGAGTACGGGGCTGGGAGACAGGAATTTAGGATGAGATTCTACTCGTATAAATGTAACTTTTCAAAAGGTGTCTAACCTAAACTTGCAGCATAGGCTTTTCTATATGAGTGCTAGGGAGAAATAGACCTCCATGGGAAGTGATTTTACTTATACTCTAGAGGCTTACCTGAAAGCGGGAAGTAAGGACCACTGCAGTAGGAAGAGGCAAACACATGACTGTAAGAGAGGCCTGGATGACTGGCACAGGTTGAGTTACTTCAGTTTTAAATGGCTAACTTTTGGGTAAACTGAATCCTTCCTTTAGTCGGAATACCCAGGCAGAGGAGTGAGGCTGGCTGGACATGAAGACAGAGACTAATGGGAGCGGAAATGCAGAACTAGAGCTAGGACAGGGACTGGGAGGAGGGCATAAAAGCAGGGAGGGGAGAAGCAGCTGAGCGTGGCTGGATAGCAGCATATTAGACAATTGCAGAATCAGGAGCTGAGAAACAGCATTATGGGCATCTCAGAGCTCTGCTGGTAACGGAAATCCATTGGCAAATCATATACCGTAGGCTTGTTCACAGAGTAGTAGTAATGCTGACCTTATATTGAGTTTACATGAACCATTTGAATGTCTGTTAGAGTTTGAGCTGTACAGAACCTCTGCATGGCAGTTAAATTTGGACAGAATCCATCTGAGGTTTGAAAAAAGCGAGGAGGAAGCTTTCCTTTCACAGAAATAAAATGCAACTGAATCTTTGATTTGTGGGAGGAAGTCATACTTGAGATGCTGTTGGAAAAGGCGGCCACAGGAGTGGGCATTATAGAGGAACCGGTATAAAAGAGTTAACTAGATAGATTCTTCTGTGCAATTTTTGCTGTTGCCAGATGTCTGCATTAAGAATCTGCATTAATTTCAGTTTTTGAACAGAGGGATGTTTATTGTAAGCTAAATAGAATTGTGCATGCAAACATCTGTCATTAGCATTTACCCATTTGTTATTGTGAGTTTAAGCACTACTGACGCAAATATCCTAAGAGAATTTTGTTCTAGGCTTCTCTTTGTAAAACAGTTTTATTTCTATGTTATACTGCATGCTCACAGCAAAAATCAGCTGGGAACAGAGGATCAGGAGCTGCCTTTTGGTATGTTAGGTATCCAGATGTAATATTGTGGCAGTGTTGGATTTACTTTACATAAATTATTTTGAGCATTTTCTTACTTAATGAAGGGTTTCAAGAACCTCAGTGTGTGCTGCCTTACATAAATGGATCCATTTTCTGTTTAATAAGTCTTAGCATGTTTTTTGGGGGCTTAATGATATTTCAGTTTTTCTAGAAAATAAAAAAACCCTCGCCAATTACAAAATCATGTAATACTTATAATTACAACAGGATGATATTTTTAAAGTATTACAGAAATTTTAATTTAAATAGCTTAAATATCTTCAATGGTAACCTCTTATGGTTATTTTCTTGTATTCTATTTTGAGCTGTAGTCGATTTGCTTTATTTTATTCAAACAGACAACTCTTATATGAGTAAAGACCAGCATGGTTCATCATCTGAGAGTGAAGATGAAGCACTGGGTAAATATCATGAGGCCTTGTCTAGAACCCAGAGTTCCAGGTTGCCAGTGGTGGATGGCAGACAGCAAAAAAACTATATATGGGAAACCAGACAAAAATATAGTCCCCTGTCTGCAGAATATGATGGATACAGTAGTGAAGCCTCAATAGATGAAGGTAAGAGTGATTTAAAAGCATTCCTTTTATTCCAAATTTCAGAATTATGTTCTGGATAATTGAGTCCTAGATGAGGACAGCTTGACTTTCAAATAGTCAATGTTTGCAAGAAATATCCGGATATCTTTTATATTTGTGCATGCTCCAAAAAATGGCACAGACTTGTGCACATTCTTCTGGAAATACTGCAAGTTATATAATACCTTGTTACATTAAGTTTCATACAATTTTATCATTAGTCATTTTATTTTGGGGGGAATTTAAACTGTTTTGATTTAGGAAAAAACATGACAACTCTAGATGAATTCTCTGGTATTGTAAATACGGAGAAGAACTGTTATTCCTCTATTGATAAGCTGTCATAACAGCAAAGTGAATGGAATTGGTTATTGGTTACGGTGCATATGGTCGTTGCAGTATGCATTATTGGAAAGTTATGTATTTTTTCTTCTATTGAAATCACAGAAAGAAATTATTACAAAGATTAGATTAATATAACTTTTCCATGGTATTAAGAGTTGGATGTAAACAATGGAACGCTTTCTTTTGTGGTACATATTTATTTTAGGTTAGGGTGACGACCTGACGTAGAGGCTGAGAATTCTGCTGTCAGTACTTTGTCAATATACTTTCTGTGCTTGAAAATAGCTGTATGTGAAAACTGTGTCTATGGCCATTTTCTAGCATGAAAAGTGAGCTTTGGTTGAAGTTAGGCAAAGGTCAGATTCTAATATAGATGCTGTGTTATAGTAAGATATGTGCTGGTCTTCCTTTAACATTTTAAAATGCAAAGTTTTTTTAGAGATTTATATTTTCTAATAAAAAGTGGATACATGTAATTAAAAGATGTCTGTCCTTAGATGTTCCATATAGTCCAGAAGTGCTTGAAAAAATTTGTATTTTCTACTATGTGATGTAATTCAATTATACAAAAGTCTGCCACTGAAATTGGAAATTAGTGCATGCTCATTCATGATTCCAAGTTAAGACACAAAGGACATGAAAGCCAATATTGAAGTAAAATGCAGAGTAAGAGGATTCTTTTCTGATCATCAGAAATTTCGGTTCTTTCCTTTGGTGTTAGAACTGATCCTTCGACGACACTGTGATGGAGCAGGACAACAAGGAAGAGGGGTAGTGGATGTATCATGTTAGATTTCAGTAGATATAAAAAACAATCAACAGCATTGGGGGGAATACAAAAGATAAGATATTATTTTTTTGTATAGCTCATGTCACTTTTGGGAAAGAATGGTGATGTATATTAACCAGAGATGGAAAACTCAATTGTATTTATTAGCAAATAATACCAGATACAAATTATACAAGACGACTACTTTCAGATACCCAGAATAATGTATTTGTTTCTTTTCAAACTATTGAGGCCAGTTGTTGAATAGTCATAGAGTAATTCATGTTGGAAGGAACATGTGACATTCCTCTTCCTATTTCACAGATAAGATTATTTTATCCTACCTAGGTCATCTTCTGAGTGAAAGTTCTCAGTTGATCTGAGCTTTTTACTTTGGCCTGATAAGACTTTAGCTCCAAAGGCATTGTGCTAGCCTGTATCTAGGGTGTTTGTTTGTTTGTTTGTTTGTTTTAATGATTGTCTTCCTTATCATTCTCTCAGATCATCAGAGTTCATAGTCACTGACTTTTATCTTCTTCTGGGGAATGAGAACTCCGGTCTGGAAATCTATATCATGGTTAGAGTCTAAGACAAAAGAATACTTGACAAGTTCAAGTATTGCATCAGGAAAGTTACAATTGTTTCCCCTCTTCTCATCTTTCATTTTTCCTTCCAGAGCTAAAGATATCTGTCACCAGCTGCTGTCCCTTCTCAGTGCTTTTTCTATTCAGAAAGCTGGCTGGATGTAAAACCCATTTATATAAAGGCACACACATAGTCACTCTAAAATTAGTATGGAAATTGAATTTATTATAATGAAGGAACATTCAGGGTTTTCAAAAATAATTTTAAAGCGAAAACTATCAAAACATTCTAACTTAGAAAATATACTGTCAGTATTTTACTTTTGCTGCTGCTTGTGAAAGCATTCTCTTCCCACATTTTACAAGGAGTAGAGAATCAGCCAGCTTATTTATTTGATAGCCTGCAATCATTCTACAGTTTTCTGCAAAATGCTTGCAAATTAGAGTGATGATTTTGTCTCCTTTTTATAATCCATTAATCTGGACAAAATTATGTTCAATAGTATTAAAAGAGTTTTGTGGTATTGGACATGGCAATAGATTAACAACCTAGCGTTTTTCACTTTTCAGTGACCTGAAGGTGGCACACTAGAATAATTACTGTTAGTACTTTTTATGTCCTTCCTAAACTATTTCAAACATAAAATAACAAATCTCTGCACACTGATAAAAATGTGTTAGAATAGAGGAAAAGACAGAGTGTGCCTCATTATGTTATGGTCATTACAGAGGGAAAGCTGCCCAACCTAGAATTTTGGTGAAAAGAGAAGGTGCAAACCTCATGAAGAAAGTCTGCAGTCAAAAATAAAGGAGAAACTGGCTATGGCTACCAAACAGTTTATATGTTTTCCGAGAAGCAGTTCACAGTGGAGAACAGCAGCAGTTTAGATGTTTCAGTGTAACTTTTAAAAATTCAAAACTTTACTGCTCCTGAAACTTGCAAAATAAATCTATAGAATACTTCATGCCATAGGAATCATGACATTATTCATTAAATACTTGGGTTTTATGACTATTGAATTATTTCTGTAAGAAGTATAAAGACAAATGGTAGAACTATTTCTTGATTCTTTGTAGTGGAGGGGGAGCAAGTAATGTGTTCCTATATACTTTCTTTAATATGACAAACAGTTGTCAATATGTTTGACTTTGTGTGCTTCTGTTTCCTCATATGTCCTTTATAATTTCTACTTCTAAGACTTAAACATTTCATCTGTACTTCCAGCTTAAGGCACTGATCAGTCCATATTTTGACCAGGGCTTGACAGAGTTACGGTGAAGTGACGAGAGGAGAGAATTCGTTTCCATCTCATCTCTGTTCCCCCCCTGCTCATTGCTAGTAAATCAGCCTCTGGTGGTATCATTAAAAATTCCATCAGAGGAAGACTAATATAAGCAATGAAAATGATATTTTATTTTTGGAAAATTCTGTGTTATTTTGTCTTCAGCAGTTAATCTCTATCACATGTTGTGTCTTGCAACAGTGTGCTGTGTGTTTTCAAAGGAGTTGGTAAACAGTTTTACTAATAACTGTACTCTGCACTTTAATTTTCACTGTTTAAATTTGTTTAGATGTGTCTGTGTTTAACAGTGCACACACAAAATTTCACAATGAGACAAAAATATAATCTTGTCTTTATTAATACATCCTGTAAGCTTTTCTTGCATTGCTAAAAACGTGTAATATTAATATGTTTGCATTACTAAGACCATCCAAATGTCTGATCATATTATTTTAAGGTTCACTTATTATCAATTACATAATTAGTTTATTACATCTCTTTTCTGGCTGCATGCCTCTGAAAATGTTTTTTTCTGAAGCCTGAAAATGCGTGTGGATGTTTTCACATCATTCTTTTCTCCTCTAGATGGCCATATTAATCTTTCTTTTCAACATATTTCTATAGAACTGACATGGCATTTTGTATAATGTTTTTAATAGTTAAATGATATTTTATGGGATTTGATGGTGTATTTTTATGATGGAATATTCTAGTAGCATTTTAGATCATTCTATGAAATTTAGGTTTTAAAATCTTGATTCACAAATATCTGCTTATGTTCTGTGTCTGATCCACTTTGTATATTTGTATAGCACATTGATCCAGTTAGATTTTTATGAGTTTTAATATATATTTTAAATGAAAAAAAATTAATGTTGTGCTTAGATGCAAGTATTTCTGCAGTCTCCAAGCTATTGTAAATATATAACTTTTGCAGTGATCTTCTCCTGGACAGGCTTAATTCCAGAGTACCTCTAAATGAAAATCTAGTTGCTTAGGAAATCCAGATGATGACGAATGTCATCATCAAATGTAAAATGGTACAGATGGCAAAGTAGAATGATACAAAAGATATGTTTATACCTGAAATTTCCAGCTCTTGCAGAAATGACTCAAAACTGTTAGCCACAGAAAAGAGAAATCTGTATAACTACAATATTTCTTGATATCTATGTGTGGACTTAACCCAGTCTTTGTGCTTAGGCCCAGAGTTCTACAGTCAGCTCGAAGATGGAAATCATGTTTTTGCCAATAATATTCTTTGTGTTCCTTCTCATGTTATCCAGTAAAGTATGGATACTTACCTTTTTTCCTTTTGCCTGATACATACCCTGATACTTCCCTTTGATTTTTTGTAGTGTACATCCTACTTCTTGTATTATTCCCTACCATTTCAAGTGCTCTCATACTGTTGAATATGTAGTATTGCCTTTATGTGCTCCAATTATTTGTAATATTTTGGAAGAGGGGATATATAGGCTGTAATATTACACATCCATTTCAGAAAATAAAGAACAAAAATAAGGGGAAAAAAACTCACAAAAAAAGCAAAAATAACACCGTAAGATATTTTTGCTGACAAGGAGATTATGAATTGAAATAGCGATCTAAATGAAGAAGTGTATTTGTTTACAAACTGTAAATTAAATTGGTGTTATTCTTTGGTAATTGGAAATATTTTTTTAGTATCTAGATTGGTCATGATCTTAAAAGGACCATACTTTCTTAATAACCTCAGTTTCAAGACTTCCTGAACTTTCAAAACTCAAGCACTATACAGACAAGTAGTTGTGTCTTTATTTTCTCTGTAAGCTTCATAGGCAAGTACAATATATTTTCTTTAGGGAGAGAGTCCCTTGAATTCCTAAAAATGGAAGTTTTTAAACTTAGAAATGATAGAGTAAATATATTGGAATTAGAATTTTGCAGGCAGATGTCAGAAGCTGTAGGTTCTCTTTTGCTTTTGAGATCAGGATACTTGGAATCACTTAAGTGGAAGAG